TCATTGTAATGAAACAAGGTATATGATTTGTTGAATGTAAAACTGATGATATGCCCTGTAAACTTTCACTCAATCCACAATACAAACCATAAAAAAAAAAAAATTCTCACAACTGGCCCAATAAATAGTATCAGGATAAATGGGGAAAAGATTGAAGTTGTCAAAGATTTCCTTTTACTTGAATCCACAATCTACAGTCATGGAAGCAGCAGTCAAGAAATCAAAGGACATATTCCATTAGTTAAATCTGCTGCTAGACCTCTTGAAAGTGTTAAAGAGCAAAGATGTCATGTTGACCCAAGTTATGGTTTTTTTTTTAGCTAGTTTATTGTGAATTATGTGGCATTTTACATGGGAGAACATTAGCTTTACATTCATCCTATCAAATATCATTACATTGCCATGGTTAGAATCTCCTCCATGCATCATCAACCAACCAAAGGGTACACCCCTCAAGCCTGCCCCCACTATAATATTTTTAATCACCTCATATGCATGCAAAGGTTGGACAATGACTAAGGAAGACCAAAGAAGAATCAATGCATTTGAATTATGGTGCTGACAAATGATATTGGAATTACCATGGGCTACTTGAAGAACGAACAAATCTGTTCTTGAAGTATATGCCCTGATTGCTCTTTAGAAATTAGGATGGTAGTAAGACTCTGTCGCTCATACTTTGGACATCGTATCAGGAGGGACCAGTCCCTGAAGAAGGACGTCATGCTTGGTAAGGAGGGGGTCAATGAAAAAGAGGAAGGTCCTCATTGAGTTGAGTGACACGGTGACAGCACTAATGACCTCAAACGTAACAGTTGTGAGGCTGGTGGAGGGTTATACAGTGTTTCTTTCTGTTGTGCAAAGGGTTGCTAAAAGTTGGAACCAACCTGATGGCACCCACAACAACAATATAGTCATAAGTCAGTTTTCTCTGGGAAGAAAATGGTCAGGCTAGACTTTCTTAGTCCCTGCCCCTTTGGGACAGAAGCAGAATCATTATGATAGTTGGGAATATAGCTGCATTTTTATTCTTGTTATTTCAAAGGAAATGTCTCATACTAAACAGTAGAAAGTGGCCCCATAAAACTCCTACCTGATTGTTGTTAAGTGCCGTCAAAATGGTTCTGACTCACAGAGACACTGTACAGGGTCTCCAAGGAGTGGTTCTGAGTTTGAACCACTGACCGTGTAGTTCAAACCAACCTTGTGATCGAGTGTTATCCTACAGCACCACCAGAGATCCGAGATGAACTGTGTGCTCAACTTACCTGGAGGGAAACCAGTCTTCAACATCTGCACTTGGCCAATGGACATCGAAATCTATTCTTTAGAACATCTTAGAGACATCTGAAGCTTAAATCCTAATATAAGGAGGAATCACAACAACACATGATGAGTGAAGAACAGGTCAGTGGCAGTGAGGTAAAGGTAGCATGGCCTCTACAATGTTTATGATGCTCATGATGATCAATTACCAGCTGAGTCAACCAATTTCCCATTTTAAAGAAATAACTGATTTTAGAAGTGAAATAAATAAAAATTCCCAATCCAACTTTTTGACTGTGTCAGTAATCATTTTGGAAACATAAAGATCAGTAAGCCAACCGACTTGACTAAGAACAGAAAAGGTCAGAGAACATTCTAGTGGCTATGCATAAGACACAGTCTGCATCTCTGCACTAACCTGGATTTACTTCAGTCACTGACTGCTATGACTGGGCAGAGATCCAACGGAAAACTTTCACAGTGGCTGAAAATAAAGGGTAGAGGGTGACAGCCTCTAACAACTACTTGTCCCTAAACATGAAATGTATTCCTGAGCCTCCTTAAATCCATCTGCACAACCACCATCATGTTTCTCAGCAGCCCACTCTCCCCCAGACTTGCATCGGCCTGCAGCAGACAGACCTGCCAACTTGAATGATTCTGTTCTGTGTCACTCTCTCAGTTGCCAGATTTAGGCAGAAGCACATATTCACCTTCTCAGAGCTTTCTAGAATTTGCTCAGAGTCATGGGTTGTTTCTATCCTTTCCCTCAGACTGGTTTCAGTCACTAAGGACGATGCAGTACACAAAAATAGAGACCATGCCAACCTCAGTCACACTCTTGTCTGAGTCCAGGCACAGTGCTGGCTGACTGAGACCTCTCACTTTTGAAAACACAAACATTGAAGTCCAGTGCATGACAGATATTTGGGGCGGTAATCCGTCCTAACAGTTTGCTCAGAAGAGCAGGTCTTCTATGTCGATAGCAACTGGCAAAACCACCTCAACGTATGTTCTGCCTAGATAATGCCGAAGACTCTGAAACAACTCCACAAGGGAATTCAGCAGCAGTTAAAGTGATCAAAAAGAGCTGTTACATACCCTTCTATAAACCAAGAGTAAAGGAGATCAGTAAGGTGTTAAATAGTCCCGTTTCTCTGTCACCAAAGGACCAGAATGTTCCCCCTCTCCGCTTTAAAGAACTGAGGCCTGAGTTTGGAATCTTTCCTGCCACCTGACCTTTGTGCGTGGGCAACTGCAGTCACATCTGAACACTTCTTCGTTTTCACAGCCTGTGCAGTGGCAACCATGAATACTTTAGGACAAAGGAAAGCTCTTTAAATAATATGTCCACGACATATTTTTCTTCTTTGCTTGGCTACCATGCTGCTCAAAGAGCAAAAAACATCCTTCCTGTCCTGTGGAGTTCAGAGTCTAAACTCTAGGGAAAAAAATGAGAATGGTTTATTCTGAGAACTAGGTTCTAGAAAACAAATGCACTACTCTAAAGAACACATTTATAGGGCAGAATTTAGTCATACAGTCGAGAGGGTGCAGGAAAAAGAAACAGGAGTAACACCCCCCACCGTCCCCAACAGCAGTAGTTAGCTACTGTCCCTTCTTCACCCTTCTAAGACATTTGGGCAGCAATGAGTTTTACTTAATATCATCAGAGAAAAAAAGTCTACTGAAGTGAATGAAGCTAAGGAGTAAGAAAGTGGGTGTGGGTGTGGGTGCTGGATTTTCAAATAAGGGATATGTATAACTGCAGTTCTGGTAGCTCTGGTAGCGAGTGGTTACGAATTGGGATGTGAACCACAAGGTCAGCAGTTTGAAACTACCAGCTGGAGAAAGATGAGGCTTTCTGCTCCTGTAAGATTTACAGCCTCGGAAACCCTGTACAGGGTCGCTGAGTTGGAACCGACTCCATGGCACATGACAACAACATAACTGCAGTTCACCTAGAATCTAGGGAGTAGCCTTAGGTTTAAATTGGAAGAGGGGGGAAAGGTGTCACATTAAGGAGGCAGATTGTTGGAAAAGAGAGGAGGGCAGGCACTGAAGCTGGAGTCAGGTTTCCCTGAGAGAGATCACATTTATAAGGAAGGTAAGCCATTAAAATGCATGTGTGGAGGCTGGTCCTGGGGATGCCAAAAAGTTAGAGAGCTGCAATTCTTCTGCTGATGAGACCTCTGACATTCTAAGTCAGTTAGGGGTAAAGAAGCTGTCTTAGGTGTTTGGGAGATGGGGGAAGAAAAGGGATAGGAGAGGAAAGAGGACGGGAAGACATGATTCACTTGGAAAACTCAGGTACCATAAAAGATTATTTGGTAAAGTGGTAAGATACGTGGAAAATGTTTTGCATGTCCAGAAAACAAATCAGAGGCTAAATAATAATTAATTTAAAAAGCCAAAGCACCTTGCATGAGAGAATTGAAGGGAAGACAAATTAATCATTGGGTAATAATGACACCAATTCTGGTAACTACAGCTTCCAGGCGATTCCTCCAGCCCATAGACTTCTGTGAGTCCTCTTACTTAGAATGAGATCTAGCTTCTTCTTGTTTACAACTAGCGCCACATCTCAGCTACCCCTCCAGAACAGAGGCTGAGGAAAACAAAAAGCAAGCAGAAGTTGGGATATACTTTTTGGTATACCTTCTGTCTTGAGAGAAAGGGATTTAAACCAACAGACTAATACATAGCTTGAAGTGTATTTGATAATAATAAACAAGATACGGTGACCTATAAAAAGTCATTTAATGTATATCCCAGGATGGCCAATACAAGCTGGTTAGGTAATTAGCCCTTGAAGAGTTTTTACAATCATATAAAAATGTTTTGCCTGTTTAAAAAAAAAAAAAAAAAAAGTCTAGTCTTAACAAAACATATCCATCAACGGGCTTATATTTTTTCCTTTACTTCCAATTTTAAGTTTGCAAGATAATTAAAAATATATGTATATGCATTTCCGAGCACACTGTTTGTTGTCCATTAGCTAATCAGTTTTGGCAATACACTGCACAGTGGTATACCACCGTTGGTTTCTGACATTAAGTTAGCTTTAAGCTTGTTGGCTATTCCAACAACTGGAGGCAGTTTGGAACCCAGTCCCTGAAACGCATTTGTAGGATTTACTACCCGTTTCCCTGACACCTTTTCTGTGGTAAGAGGTCTAGGCATGGACTTGCTAATCCAAGGATGTCTTAATGCTTGAGCTGGGGTCAGGCGAGCAGAGGGGTCCCAATGAAGACATCTTTTCAAAAACTCTATAAACAAGTAGTCATCACAGCCTTTCAGTGCTGTTACCCAGTCTTTGCTGCCCGGGGGACCCCGCTTCTTACCCCTACGTGAGCGGCCCCCCACAAGAACAACCCTCCCATCTGCCTGAGTAGTCACAGAGCAATAACGTGGTAGGCCCTTCGAATTAATAAAGTACTTGGCACGTTTGGATTGTTCCAGAAGTTTTGGTGGTGGCATCCCTAGAAGCTCCATCATACAGGCCAACTGGTCTCCTTCATCCTCTCCAGGGAAGAGAGGCTGTCCTGTTAAAAGTTCTGCAAGGATGCAACCAAAACTCCATATATCAATGGGCGTGCTGTAGCGGCTTCCTAAGATGATCTCTGGAGCCCTGTAGAAACGAGACTGGATGTATGTGTACAGCTTCTGGTACTCGAAGCAGCTGGATCCAAAGTCAATGACCTTGGTTGCACTGCGCCCGTGGTGTTTCAGGAGAATGTTTTCTGGCTTCAGGTCACAGTGAATGATCTTATTTTTGTGGAGAGCATCCAGGGATTGCAGGATGGACTGGGCAAACTTGCGCACCAACTCGACACTGAAACCTTGAAACTTGTTTTTCTTAATGAGCTCATAAAGGTCTATGCTCAACAATTCAAAGGCAATGCAAACGTGGTTCCGGAATGTGAAACTTTCCAGCATGTGGATAACGTTCATGCTGCCAGTTTTGTCCTGTTTTTTAAGATGCTCCAAGATCCGGATCTCCTCAGCAGCTTGGCGATGGAATCGCTTCTCGTTGCGCACCATCTTTAGGGCCACATACTGTCGAAGTTTGTGATCGTAGACCCGGGCTACTTGCCCAAAACTCCCCTTGCCAATGATTTTCAGCACCTCATATCGATAAGCTACGTGGTCTCGAGGTACATGAATATAGGCCCCATCTGCATCATCATAACCCCCATTATTGGGACCACCAATAACACCAGGTCTCTTTTTAGCATTTGGGCCCACAAAATAAATTTCTGGATACGTGATGATTTCCTGCTTCTCATATGCAGTGAGGTGGTGTTTATACTGCTTCAGGGCTTGCTCGGGATTCAGTGGTACCACTTTGGGTGTTTTGGAGGAACTACTGGATTTTACTGTGTTCAGGCTGTCTGAACTTTTACCCTGAGAAACGGTAGGAGAGCATTTTTCAGAGTCAGTGACGACAGCGGACTGAAAAGTATCAGATCTTCTGTTGCCAAATTCTTGAAATAGCTGCTCTACCTTCATCTCACCTCCATTCAGAAAGTGCTGAGTATGGTCTCTTGTCAGCTGCTCGGTGGTAATCTATGCAAGAGAAAAATGAAGGTGATATTAAAGCCACTAAAATGATTTGGGGAATGAAAGGAGTCTTTCCCCACCTGAACAATAACAACAGAACAAACATGTCCAGTCATGCTTACTTTATGGTCACAATCATCCAAAGGGGAAAGAAGAAAACCAGGGGTCTTCTAGAGACTTGTAAGTTTTATTAATCCTCAGACTCCCTGAATATTTTGGCCACACCAATACTAAATACATCCCTAGCTATGTTTAAGACTCCAAACATGCTAGGTTCTGTCTTAAAAGTATTTCTTTGCAATGGGAATCCCTTCATTGCCATTCGCTCAAATCCTAGACTCTCCTTCGTAGCCAAACCCAAGTCCTCTCTCTTCCACTTAGGACTATTCCAAGTCTACTTAACTAATTAACCTCACATTTTAACTCCAGCTCTTCTGACTCTGTACCACACAATTTGGAGCTTGATGATATAGTGTCTTATGTGGCTTATTGTTTCAAGTATCTTCCCAAATCTTAAGGGCATATAATAGGTCTAAAATAATACATGTTCTGCAAGCTATAATGTATAATTAAGAGCTGCGGCAGGATTTGGACCCAGGTCTTCTGACTCCCAGCCTAAGGTCCTTCCCATCAATAGTCCTCAGCACCAGTTTCTCCTAGTGCCACAATTTCTGTCTGGTAGGGTTGACACGCTGACTACAGCCTTGACTCAGCCTTGACTTATTCCCAGGTCCCCATATAAATTATTGCTGAACTAAATTATTTCATTCTAAGCTAGAGGGAGGAGTCCTGCTGTGGTGCTGTAGGATATGCACTGGGCTGCGAACCGCAAGGTCCGTGGTTCAAACTCACCAGCCACTCCTCAGAAACACTATACAGGGTCACTTAGGAGTTGGCACTGACTTGAAGGCACTTAGTAAGAACAAAGCTGGAGGAAAGAAGTCATGGTACAGAGGGTTAAGAGCTGGGCTGTTAACTAAACGGTTGGCACTTCAAACCGACCAGCTACTCCACAGGAGAAAGATGAGGCAGTTGGCTTCCATAAAGGTTTATAGCCCTGAAAACCCAATGGAGCAGTTCTGCTCTGTTCGATAATGTCGCTGTGAATCAGAACGAATTCTGATAGCACTGGGTTAAGTCAGAGGGAGCTCCTGAGATCATCTAGGTCAACTCTTCATGTGTCTGTTCAATAATAGGGACTTGAGAGAGACAGAACAATCTGACAGTCAGTGACGGAAGCAGTGAAGAGCTGAGGGGAGCCAGAGTCCCAGGCCCTTGGGTGCTTCTTGTAAACATGTTCACTACTGAGGCAGAGTTTCTTGCTTTCTGTCTCTCTTATACACACACAACACATACAGAAACACACACATATATACACCTACAACACCTAAAGAGCCCACATGATCTGACAAAGGTCTATTACCCATTTTACTCGATGTCGCTTAAATTTTTCCTGTAACAATAATCCATAAATTAAAGCACCACGTGTTCCTCTGAATTGCAATAAGATTCTTTGAAGTAATATGTAGGAAAATAAAAGCAAATATAGCCAAATACTTCTAAAAACATTAGTATTAAGGAAAATATAAGAAGGGATAAGAAGGTAAAAAGGAAAAAACAAACCTTGTTTGTTTGTTTTTTAAAGTATGTTATGTTTCAAAGAACATCTTTTCTCAAAGGACCATGAAGAACTGTATCCCTGGTCTGTTTTATTAGTTTCAGAATTTCTAGTGTTGTTGTTAAGGAGATCTGGTAGCGTGGTGATTATGAGTTGCGCTGCTCACCTCAAGGTCAGCATTTCGAAACTACCAGCTGTTCCATGGGAGAAAGATGAGGCTTTCTGCTCCCATAAAGATTTACAGCCTCGAAAGCCCTATGCAGGGTTGCTATGAGTTGGAACTGACTTCACAGCACACCACTAGCACCATCAACACCACTGTTGTTGTTAAGTGCCTTTGAGTCAGTTCCGATTCTTAGTGACCGTGTATAGTGTTTCTGAGGAGCGCTGGTGAGTTTGGACCACCCACGTTGCAGTTCAAACAGATCTTGCTGTCCAATGCTGATCCTACAGCGCCATAACAGGAGTCCACGATCAGGAGTAAATAATTCCAGAAGAGCTCTGAGCTAGCTAAAATCTCTTAAGAATGTGATAAAAAAATCCAAGGGCAATGATTCAAAGTCTTCAAGCTTTTAGAAAATAAACTTTTCATATAACCTAAGCAAACAATAACACCTGGCTCATTAAAACAAAAGCCCCATAAAAATGTAATACGAAAACATAAACAGAAAAAGGATAAATAAGATTTAAGTATTGAAAAACCTCAAACAGCTCCCAGTCTCGTTGTGAAGCAGCCAGTACAAAACTATAGCCATACTATGGCACTTAGTTGTAAAATAAAGCCATGAAATACTAGGGTACTTTGTGGAAAAATGGAATTAAAAGAAACTTTCTGAAGCCAATCAGAGAGAGATAATCTCTCTGATGCCAAAACAAAGAACTATCACTAGTTAAGCAAATAAATGAGCCTGGAGTCAGAACCTTGCTACAACGCAAGTGTAACCCAACATTTCCCTTGATCAAGAATTTGATCAAGTAACTATGCCTGGTTTTAGGGATCACAATACAGAAGCAGATCCGGTTAACCCATCCATCCACCTAATACACATGTGTACACTTCCTGTTACCTATTTTAAAAACGTTAAAAAACAAGTGTTCCCAGGGGACTACAATCTATCAGAAAATCAACTTAGGTGAACTAGAGAAAGAATGATATTTATTTGGCTTTAGTTAGATTTATGTAACAGGAATAAACATTTATATAAACATCTCAGCCAGTTTTCCTAAATTTTTTCACTCTGGAATTCTAATGTTTCTATAAGCATACTGCTTAAGTCTTTGGGACACATCCTGAAAAAGAACAGGAAATCAGAAGGTCTGGCCTTTCTAGGTGACTCAGAAGCTCTGAGGTCCCTGGGCAGTTACTTAATCTTTCCTAGTCTCAGTTTCTTCATCTGTGAAATGTGGATGATAATTTGTGTACATCAAATTATAATGAATAAGATGCAAGAAAGACCCTTAGAAATGATATGACATTTTTAAAGCGCTGATCACCATTCAGCAAGATTCTCACTATATTAAGATTTAAACTTATTATACACCCTGCACCAGGGATCTGGCACTTCATAGACCTTCTTCTCAGTGGGGGCACTACACCAGAAATTCTCCTTCAGATGCACAAACACTCTTCACCCTCTCTCCCGCACGTAAAACCTACTATGAACTAGCTATACAACGTAATGTGTTACCTCTCCAGGGTTATTTGGACTTTAACAGGAGATCAGCGCCTTTACCTCAAGGAATGACTAGGCACTTGAGTCATCAGTGAAGCTGGCAGGAAAGGTATTTGTGGTACAGGGTCTGTCCCTGAGTATTTCACCTACTCTGTCTACATGTAAGTTTGCACTGGCTCTGGAGGTCTTCATCTCTGTTTGTGATAAAGAGAGGGTCTTGGATACAGAACATTAATAAGAGCAGATACATAACAGAAATTTAATTTTCACAAAACGGTTACAATAAGATTAAGGATGCCATTTGGATTTCCTAACTCATGGTTTTCTCTGAAAGTGGCCCTAAATATGTCTCTTCCTGTAAATTAATTCTTACTTTGCCCACTGGAACAACGTGAAGTGGCCAAATTTGATGTAAGGGCCCTTCAGATACCTAAAAGGTGCCCTCACCATTTTTCTCAAAGTTTGCCATCCCCACTACACCCCTCTATCTCATATGACATGTGCTCAGTTACCCTTACTTTCCTGTTCATAGTCTCAACACAAATTGCACTTCATTTATGTGTCCTTTGAAATGTAGCTCCCAGAACAGAACACAATAAAACATCAGTTCTAGTCCACTGCAGATGATCAGTGTTTGGCGCTTCAGTATATCTAAAGAATTCCAGGAAGGAATTTTTCCAAACAGGAAGGAGTTTTCTCCTTAGCTTTCTTTCCTGTAAATAACTGGATTTAGTGGCTTAAATCAATTATGTATCAAGTCTGCTGTGCTATAAATAAAACTTCAACCCATTGTTCCAGGAGAATCTACAATGTTCACACATGCTAATGTAAAATAAGCATAAAACAGTATATATTTCTAATCCAGGATTAAAATTTACAATAACGAACCAATGTGCATGTTCAATTATATCAAAAATTCTGCTAACTATGTATTTATTTCTAGGGTGATGGATAATGCCAGATTTATCATGTTTTGTTTCTTAGGACTGCTTCACAAACACTGCTAATGGAATCTGATATTTCAAATAGAATCTTCTACAGTTTTAAGCAAGCCTTAAATATTTTAAAAATTCTCAATTTATTTTGTTGTTGTTGTTGAGAATATATACAGCAAAACACATACCAAGTCAGTAGTTCCTACATGTATAATTCAGTGACACTGATTACATTGTGCCATCATCCTCACCTTCCTTCTTCTGAGTTGTTCCTCCCTCATTAACCTGAACTCACTGCTCTCTAAGGTTCCTATCCAACCTTTCCAATTGCTGTTGCCTAAATCCTAAAGATCTTGATGAGGATTTCAAAACAGGAATATTCTTCTGCTAGATATAAAGTGAACTCCTAGTATGGTGCTGTAGGATCAGCACTGGACTAAGAGCCACAAGGTAAGCAGATCAAACCCCCCAGTTGTTCCTTGGAAAATCTGTACAGGGTCGCTATGAAGTTGACGGCACTTAACAACAACAGATGTAAGTACACTCTATCTCCCCAACCCCTGACACTAAATCCCTGCAACACAAAACTTAGCCCAATCAAAGCCTATGGGCAGACTGATTTAGAGTTCACAAAGAGAATGTAAGAGTATCTTGAATAAACAATGAAGCTGGAAGACTGTGAAAAGAACAGGGTCTTAGGATAGAGTCATAGCATACTGAACTACAAATATCACCAAAGATCAAAAAACCATTTTTTCTTCAGAAAAGTATGTAAAGTCACAATTGGATTTGAATGGGAGCGTCTTGTTTCCTAAAACCTGAATCGCATAAAGTAAGAATTTAATTCATATTGACTCTGAAACATATCCATCAATAGAATATGTTTAGCATCTGACAACTCTGAATTAAAGTTCAAATGAACTTTAAGTGTGATTTTAACACATCAGTTGCAAAACATTTCCTGGATAACCCTTCTCACTGCAGCAAGTAGCCAAGAAATCTGAAGGTCAACAATGTGGTATGTGGTTCTAGAGAACTCAGAAGAGGTTTTTACAAACTAAAGAAACAAGAAAGGAAAGCAAGTCCTACTACACCCCAGAAAAGAGATTAAAAATTGAATGGCCAGCCTTCTACATCTTTGTAGCCTATGCTTTGTAATATATTTGCCTTGAAAGTAATAAAAGATTGAGCTTCATTTTTAAAATGGGCTGAAACTTGTCATTTTTTTTTTCCCAGTATACAGAAACAATTTTAGGTCTTAAAGACAAAAATGGGAAGAAGTATTACAAAGTAGTCAATTCAGTTTTCTCATTAGATAATGTATGCAGCAAAATCTAAAGTCAGATGAGAGCTTCTCCCTGTCATGGAGACTGTCCAAGCCCTAGCTCTTCCCAGTGATGCTACAGATGCTGAGAAAATGTGAATTCATTGTATCCTTATCTGGAATGAAACAGTGTCAAAAGCTAAGTGTCTGCAGTCCTCAGAATGATTAATTGTATCAAAAACCAAACTGTGCTATTCAAATTTGATTTGTGATCTATAAAATTGTTCTCTTTACTTTGCTAATAAGCTATGACTGCATTTCTATTGCACAGGAAATCAATCTGCAGATCTAAGAATTCAGGGATATTTTCTGTTGTTTCTTGTTAAAAGGAGCCTTTGTAATACTCTGAGTATATCAGCAGATCGAAAAATCATGCAAATGGTTAAGTACCAGTCTATTAGCTGAAAGAGTGGTGGTTCAAACCCACCCAGAGGTGCTTCAGTACAGACGTCTGGTGATCTGATTCTGAAAGGTCACAGCCTTAAAAATTCTATGGAGCAGTCAGTCTTACTCTGCACACATGGGATCTCCATGAGTCAGAATGGATGTGAAGGCAGCTAACAACGACACCAGCACATAAAAGGAGCATTATTATTTTTTTCTCTAGTGATTGAGAAAGGCTCTAAATCAAAATCATCCCAAACAGCTAAAGTTGGGATCCCAGAAATTGTAATTTCAAAATCAGGAGAAATCAAAAGGAAAAAGACAAGTATCTAGGTCACCTAAGATACATATCTGTATCTTGAGCATTCAGTACTTCCTCCTTCCTAAAACAGTGCAAAGCACTGTTTCATGTACTTACATTGAGTCTTCTGGGTAGAGGTGGTTCTGAAGGAGTGCAGAGAACATTTGAACAAGGCGGACATTTGGTTTCATCTATCATCGTGATGGTATCGTAGACACCATCTCCCAATCTAGTTGAAAAGATTATAGATAAAATCTGTCAGTGGTGGAAGAATATAAATTTGTATTTCCAACACATGCTATGTCTTAACTGCTTCATATCTGCTACAAAAAAAAAGAAACACTACAAATATCTACAGTGCATTTTAGCAATGGATTCTACATTGGTTCTTAACCGCCTCCACAGCACTTAAAAACAACAATCCTTAAAGAATCCTAATGGTGCTGCGGGTTAATGTGCTGGACTGCAAGGTCGGTTTGAATTGTAAGGCCAGCAGTTCAACCTCACCAGCCGCTCCTTGGAAGCACTATACAGGGTCACTATGAGTCAGAACTGACTGGACGGTACTTAACAACAACAACAACAACTAGCAAAGAGTAGTGGTGGTGGTGGTTATGTGCTATGGAGTCAGTTCTGACTCATAGCGACCCTGTCCAGGGTTTCCGAGGCTGTAAATCTTCATGGGAGCAGAAAGCCTCATCTGTCTCCCATGGAATAGCTGGTAGTTTTCCAATTTAGAATTCAATGCCAAAATGCAGCTAACAATAACAACAACAACCATCGACGAAGAGCCAGGAGCAGAGCATGTCTTCTGAACTCCAAGATCCCTGTGAATTGAACCTCTTTGTCCCAGGGACAGAAAGCTACGATACCAGAGAAGTGGCAGAGGAATAGCAACAAGAGCAGAAGCAAAAGTCAGAGCTTAAGACAGGGAACAAATAAAGCTGTATGACTTTGGCCAGGAGGCTTGCTTGCTGAGTGGGATGGCTCCAGGCACTTAATTGAGGGCGTTTTGGTTTGCTGACCTAACTAAGCCAAGAGCCTTTGTTTGGACTGAGGCTTACAACCGACTGGAATGCCTTTGAGCATTTATCAGTAATGCTAAAGAGCTGTGTTACCCAGGCAGAAAGAGGCTTGCCTACAGGCATGGCTGAAAAGAGGCTGTCCTGATTAGAGCAACTGCTCTCTGAACATTTCTGCCTTTGAACTATAACTTGGTAACTTCCCTAGTAAACTCCATAATTGTCAGTATGCTGTCTGTGTTCCGTGTGGCCATTGCCATAAATGATGGAATCCAGATGAGAAGCAGAGTGTTGTGGAAGGTATGGTTGGTGCCACCTTTTTTATGCCAGTTTGGTACAACAAGGGTACTTGGCAGAAAATAAAGGAAACCCAACTTGTGTGTGTATGTGTTTTAAAGAAAAGATACCATCTTCAGGTTTGTGGTTAAAAATAATTTAAAATGGAGCCTTACTTTCTGAATGTTGTTAAACTATACCAACGGCTGTCCCATTGATTCTGACTCATCATGACCCTATGAACAGAGTGTAACTGCCCCATAGGAGTTTCACGGCTGTAATCCAAGTCTGGTGTGCTGCTGTAAGATAAACAATGGACTGCTAATCACTAGGTTGGCAGTTCAAACCCACCAGCCACTCCTCAGAAACCCTATACAGGGTTGCTATGAGTCAGAACTGACTCAATGACACTTAACAACAGCAACAATCTTTATAGAAGCACAATTACAACTTTTTCCCATGGAGCAGTTGGTGGGTTCAAACTGCTCATCTTTCTATTAGCAGCCAAGCACTTAGCCACGGAGCTAACAGGGCTCCTCATTAAACTATAGTCACCAATGCCACTGAATCATTCCACTCAGAGACTCTTTAGCATGGAGTAGTACTGCCCCATAGGGGTTTCTATGAAGTAGATGGTCACATCTTTCTCCTCAGGAGCAGGTGGGAGGTTTGAACCACTGACCTTAGCTGTGAGCAGTTAGCAGCAGCTGAGTACTTTAACTAAGGAGCTCTGGTAGCGTAGTGGTTACAAATCGGGCTGCTAACCTCAAGGTCGGCAGTTCGAAACTACCAGCTGTTCCGCGAGAGAAAGATGAGGCTTTCTGCTCCCGTAAAGACTTACAGCCTTGGAAACCCTGTACAGGGTCACTATGAGTCAGAAGTGACTCCACGGCACATAACCAACCAACTTTAATAATGGGGTGCCTACGTTAAACTTTGTTGTTGTTGTTAAGTGTCGTGAAGTTGTTTCGGACTCACAGCAATCCCATACAGCAACCCTGTTTCTGCGGAACAGCTGGTGAGTTTGAACCGCCAACCTTGTGGGGACTATCAAAATGCTCTAACTCAATTCATTACTTGTAAATGAAAGCAAGTTTGAATTTAGAGCCTAAAAACTAACTAGAGACTTGGATTCTAATATCTGTATGTACTACCTTCCCCTCATGTTAAAATGGGAAGAATAGTTCTAGTGTCTACACGGGCAAAAACTTTTGGGCTGTCTTCTATTTATTTATTTACTTACTTGTATCTATGTAACTTGTAGGGAAACACACAGAACACTAAAGTAATTACATAAGGCATTCTCTGAATGCACTGAATTTCACTTCTTTTCCCACTTCTTTCTCTGGTGGGTGGTGGAGACAAAACACTAAATGAATAAGCATAATTTCTCTGTTCTTTAACACTGCAAGAGAACACACAAAAGATAGAAGATTTATTTAATCCACAAGGTGGCCCTGAATAATGTAATTCATCTGCCACCAGGAATATGGATGGATTTCTTGGTTATACACATCAGTATTCCACTGTATCATTTTACATGATGTATTATAAATGCAATGGTGACTATGTTGCAGATTAGAATTTTGTTCAATGTCTTGAAATATCCTGGAATATTTATTTGCTTTTAAAAACTGTTACTGTAAAATTAGTTCTAGTTTTCTTGATTGATGGGTTGTAAGGAGTCCTGGTGTGACGCTGTGGGTTAATGCGCCAGACTGCAAAGCCGTTTGAACTGCAAGGTCAGTGGTTCAAGCTCACCAGCTGCTCCTATACAGGGCCACTATTGGTAGAGATTGACTCGACAGTACTTAACACAACAAGGATACAAAGGGGAAAAGAAAAGAAAAAAAAAAAAAAAAACCAACTGCAAATATTTTGGAATGTTCTCTTTTTCTAAACATTCTTCCATTCGGATAGAATTATTTCTGTCTTTAACAAGGATCTGCTTCACTGCCCAGATTCTGGATGTGACTGAGTCTTTGCCAACAACATGAATAAAACAAAATAGACCCGGACAGGCGTTTACTGAAGACCTGCAGAATTTCCTTCTACAGACAGACCGCCAGAGGAAATTCACCAGAGGAAGTCTCCATGCAAATGAAGTGAGGACTGGGTCTTTTCTCTCCAATATTTGTAAAAGAATGCAAGACAGAGAAAATCCCAAAATAGGATCTTCATAGACCTAAACCCAGCACGGCCGCTTACCTGCAAGTCTAAAGCCTTACTATACCCCTCAGAGCAAACCCCAAGAGTTCAGCCCTACGTTAACCGCTCTGAGCAACAGGGTTTCTTCCAAAGGCATTGCTCCCTGGCTGCCCCAGTTGGTTAAAAAAATCTCACAAAAAGTATCAGCTTCTCGGAATCCCTTACCTTACACACCGGATCTAGAGCTCCAGAGATAATCCAGCGGGTGGAAATTCTTCCCCTAACTCTGCTCTAGCCCCCTCCCCCTCTCACGATGGGCTGGGGGAGGGGAGCTCTTGGAGAGAAAGGTGGGGAGCTGAACCCGGCAAGAGGGATCAGACCCCTTCCTTCGCCCCTCTTTGGGGGGGCTCAGTCAGACTACAGTTCAGGCCTCGCCTGCCAGAGCCAGCCGCTCTCACCGAAGCCCCCAGCCCGTTACCTCGCGGCGCCGTTACCTCCGCTGCTGGGGCGGGAGTCCGGCCCCGGGCGGCCCCGCATCCTTCCGCCCAGGTCCGCGAGCCGTGCCTCCCATCCGCAAGCTCGAGACCCCTACGGAGGAGGGGCGGCGGTTGGAGACTCCGGCTAGGCGCGACCACCTGCGCTGGAAGGGTTGCCTCCCGGGCCGCGACGCTTCCCCGGGGATTCTCAACCAGATGCTGCAGCTCCGCGCGCCTTCGTTCGCGACTGGCCCTGACCGGGAGGGAGAGATTGAGCGACGAGGATGGGAGGGGGGAGGAGAGCGGTCTGGCTGCCTAGCAACCGCGGCACGCCCCGGGAAACGCCTTTGCGCAGCGACGCGGTGACGCACCGGGGCGGAGTCGGGGAGGACTTTCCCTACAGCACCGCCTCCCCAGGTTGACTTCCTATCCTGAGGTGTAGCGGCCGGCGTTAGCTGGTGAGCTGCTGGGGTACTGGGGACCCGGTATAGGAGACAGAAGAGGTACCGGGGTAGAAATTGTGAAAGTGGAAGCCCCGATTTCCGCTTCGAGAGACCGCACGATCTTTCCCTTACGTAGCATGTTGCAACCTGGAGTTCTAACATGTCCCCTTGAATATATGTATTTTTTTAATCTTATCCCACTGTGGGGGCGGCCCTCTGGAGGACAGAATTTGTCTGAAAGCCATAAAATTAGTCATTCATCGACACTGTTCCAGCACTTGCAAACGTTGCCTTATTTAATCGCAGTAACCCTAACTAGATGACACCCCTATTTTACAAACCAAAAAGCAGGCGCAGTGGGTTTTACATAGGATCCAGAATTGATTCTGGGATTTGTTTCATTCCCGAAACAGGATGCCATAGATGGTAGAGTTGAGATCCCCCCCCTAACCTGTACATTCTGCAGCTTTCCGGATGAACCTACCCTTAAGGTTTACGAACTATCGTCACAGGATTTTGAAACATATACCTCATGTTGTTAGGTGCCATCAAGTCAGTTCCAACTCATAGCAACCTATGTGCAACAGAACGGAATTCTGCCCAGCCCTGTGCCAATTTTACTATCGTTGTTACACTTGAGCCCATTGCTGCTGCCACTGTGCCAATCCATTTTGCTGGGGGTCTTCCTGGTTTTCGTTGACCCTCCACTTTAAAAAGCATGATATCCTTCTCCTGGCACTGGTCCCTCTTGATAACAGGTCTAAAGTGTAAGAGATAAAGTCTGGTCATCCTGGTTACTAAGGAGCATTCTGGCTGCACTTTTTCCTAAACAGATTTGTTTATTTTTCTGGCAGTTCATGGTACCTTTAATATTTTTCTACAACACCATAACTCAAATGCACAGATTCTCCTGTGGTCTTCCATATTTGTTGTCTAACTTTCACATGCATATGAAGCTATTAAAAATACCATGGCTCAGATCAGATGCACTTTAGTCCTCCAACTGATATCTTTGCCTTTGAATACTTTAAAAGTAAAAGATACCACATATATATCTTATAAGGGAGTCCTGGTGTGGTACTTTGTGTTAATGTGCTGGACTGCAAAGTCACTTTGAACTACAAAGTCAATGGTTCAAGATTACCAGCTACTCCTCGGAGACTCTATACGGGATTGCTACGGGTCAGAACGGACCTAACGGCACAACAATAATATAGCTTATAAATCACCTGTTTTCCTGCTCTTTCCCTCTGATAATTTGTTTTGAGCCCTCTTTTCTCCCAGGAAAGTATTTCACCACAGGAAGTGATCTGGTTTGTTGAGCATGCTCAGAAAGAACAACCTCAACCTACAGTTGACCCAGAAAAAAGGAAATGTGGACAAAGAACAAAAAGTTGCCAGAAAGATGGCATCAGATTAACTTGTACGACATTTAGGATTATGGAGTCAAGAATCCTAACACCACCCCTCGGTACATAGTCATGACCATTCCTCAGAAATCTGTTATATATTCTTATTCCCCCAATTTACTTTCTGGTGTCTATGTATAAAACTAAATTACCTTTGTTTCAAGGGCTTGCCTTGGGATTCTGGTCAAGGGTTGCTCCTTGCTTGATCATCAAAGCAAAGCCTCCCCCCACCCCCTTTCACTTTTACCCAGTTTCTGTATTTGTTTTTTAGCCACACCAAGGAAGACCGGTTGGTAAGAGGGCTTTTGAGTTCCTCTTTCAACTTTCCTACTTTAGTTGGTTGTTATGTACTGTGGAATCAGTTCAACTCATAGCGACCCTGTGAGGCTGTAAATCTTTACGGGAGCAGAAAGCCTCATCTTTCTCTTGCGGGGCGGCTGGTAGACTTGAACTGCTGACCTTGTGGTTGGCAGCTCAGCTCGTAATCCATTATAGTACCAGAGCTCCTTTTTTATGGATAAGGAAATTGAGGCCCACACGAGACCTCCTTGTTTATGATCATGTAGTGAAGGCTGAACTATGTTTTCAAATGCCCAGCCTTCTTCCTGCAACTCGAGATCCCCTTGAACAGCACTTCCTATTGTTTCATCTTTTTTCCTAAGAAAAGTTACCCTTTTTTCTGAAAAATTAAAAGAGAAACACCTCTGTAACACCAACGTGAAGCGATTTTCACTTTCACAAAAGTAAGCAAGGGGAAGGTTGTAGTTAAGTACCGTGGAATCAATTCTGACCCATAGTGGTCCTGTATAGGGTTTCCAAGGAACAGCTGGTGAGCTTGAACTACTGACCTTACAGTTCAAATGGCTTTGCAGTCTGGCACATGAACCCACAGTGCCTCACTGGGGCAGGTTACAACAGACAAATACAAGTGTTTTCTTAAGTGAGGCATCAGCAGACAAAGCTGGAGTCTGACCCTCTAGTTGAGAGCCAAACGTTCTCAAAATGCTGGGTACTCACTGTCCCAAACCAATATATTGTTTGTTGCTAGAGCTGTTGAGTCGGTTCTGATTCTTAGCAACCCTGGATAGGGTTTCTGAGAAACTGGTGAGTTCTAACTGCCGACCTTGCATTTCAACCCAACCAGAGGTCTAGTGCTTATCCTACAGGGACACACCAGGCCTCCCAAACCTATATAGCTTGTTGTTAAGTTCCCACTACTTGGTTCCAACTTCCAACAACCCTGTATAAAGGATTTCCAAGGCTGTAAATTTTTTGCTGGAGCAGAAAGCCTCGTCTTTCTCCCCAGAGTGACCGGTGGGCTTGAACTGCTGACCTTATGGTTCACAGTCCAGTGCTTATCCTTTTGTTGTTGTTAAGTGCCGTTGAGTTGATTTGACTTACCGTGACCCAACAGAGTGTCTCCAAGAAGTGGCTGGTGGGTTTGAACTGCTGACCTTGTGGTTAGTAGTTCAATGCTTATCCTATGGAGCCATAAATCTTAACATTTCCATCCAAATGTCCTTTTCAAGTGACTAAAAGCTATATTCCCTGTCTTTATACTTCCAAGTTAAAATGCCCATAAATATTCAAATCTTCTTTACTTTTCCAAATTGAGAATGTGATGGTTTGGGGAACCTTATTCTTCATAATCAATTTTGTTTTAGCCTCTCTAGGATATAAATATAAATAAAGAACTTCTCTTCCATGATTTTTAATCATATTTCTAAGTTCATCAATAAGATTTGTGTTTTATTTTCTTTTTTGCCTCCCCCATCCACCACCCACACCTGCAAATCAGAGTAATCCTGCTTTACTATGGTTTGTATTTGGGCACCTATGGAAGCTTTTGTTTGAAAAGAGTTACATGGCAACAAAAGGTTTAAACTAGAATGTTAGAGGTCCCTTGCAACTCGAAGATTGCATAATTCTATTAAATAATCCCTGTTCTTAGTATGCATGCCTTAGACCATTTTACTTCCCTGACTATTAGAATTTACGCCACATGTTTCCTTTCCTCATTCTGGTTCACTGCTCTGAGAGGACTGCAACTTGCACTGTTTAAAGCAATCATCAGGAGCCAACCCAAAGCATTCCTGATCCCCATCCTACCCCTCTGGTGGAAAACATAGAGGCCTCCTTTGTCTTTATAGTTTCCTTGGTCCAAAAAGAGAGGAGGCTCTATGGTTCAGGAGCCTCAAAATTCTGATCTTTGTGATCTAAGAACTTGCCAATGTTTCTTCAGAGAGCTCCTGTTTCAAAACAGTGTGGTTGGGATAAATCTCCATAAGAAATATAACAAGAACCTCCACACACCCCCGGAGCTGCTAACCTGTGCCCGCCAGGCCTTGAGCAACTTCCACGCCATTCATACCCTTCTTTCCCTTCCAAAGCCCTACCCAAGAGTAGTTCAAAATTGTCATTATCTTTCCCCAAACAGCTTAAGTCAGATTCACCTACCATACCAAACCAAAACCAAAACCAAACCTATGTCATTTAGTTGATTCCAACTAATAACAACCTTATAGGACAGAATAGAATTGTTACTTAGGGTTTCTGAGACTGTAAATCTTTATGTGAGCAAATAGCCTCATCTTTCTCCCCCAGAGTAGCTAGTGAGTTTGAATGGCCAACTCTAGAGTTAGCAGCCCAGTGCTTAACCCATTATGGCACCAGAATGTCTTTTAGCTATTGTAGATTAGCCAAAAGTTGAAAAGCAACTCTTTTCTGTCCTTTGAGGTCAGTTCCAATACATCTACTAAATAAGGAATCTTTAACAGAGAAACAAGCAAACAAAACAAAAAATATAACTTCCAGGATCTTCCAAAAACCTCAGAAACATCAGAAAGTGATCATAGCAGTTTGCCAAAGCATAAATTATGAAAATATCCATGGTCACATCAACCAGAAATTGGTGATGGAACAGTTGTCGGTAGATTAAGTTAAGCTTTAAATTATTTCATTACTAGAAATTCATTATAACAGATATGCTATTATACATACTATTACAAGATAGGAATACATTTTTAAACATATCATTTGGAAAACGACGTTGAGACTCAATCCTTTCCCTTAAACTATATTGACTTCAAATTCTCCTAAGCTCCTGAAACATGTAACTGGTATTTCATCACAGAAATCTAACCCAGCTGTGTCACTGACACACTAAAATCACCTCTTCCCCCTCCCTACCTTACAGCCTCAGAGAAATCTCACTTTTGTGAACCTGAAACATTATCTTCCTATTCTTACTCCTGAGCTTTAAAAGAAGCTCCTATTAACACTTTTGAATCTCAAAATTGCCTGCTCCTTGGCCTCCTCTAGTATTACACACCCACAGTTCTATATCTCTGAAGCCCCAAAGACTGTATTTATTAATCCCAAATCCCAGCAACATTTTTCTTTTTC